GTGCACATGGTTCTCAATAAAAGCCTTTGGACATGGGGGTTCAGGGCTTTCTCTTCCCTGGAAGGAAGAGCCATGTCCTCTCTCCTGGCAAACAGAGAAGTGTTTGTGACGACTCATTTATTTGCCCCATCCGTGACAAACCCGGGACGGGCTTTGTGGGATTCAGAGCCCTCCTCTCTCCTCAGATGGCTCTGGACAGTAACCCTCAGATCCAGGAGCCCCATGCTCCATCCCGGCACTTTCCGCAACATGTCCCGCCCCCCTCACAACAGTGTCAGATGGGGGAGAGGAAAGAGGAGAGGGAGAGGCTGCACAGAGTTTTTTGTCTTAAGGGGTTTTGCAGAATTTTTTGTCTTGAGGGCTTTTATCTGTTTTCCAAAGGCTGAGATTTTAAGGGCTGATCTCAATAGAATATTCATGAGCTTTCCAGATGTGTCCTTTCAGAGTCATAATTTCTACTGATTGGTCAGTGCTAGGGTAGGAAGTTATTAGTCATTGCATCTGGTCCTGATGTCAGCCTTAGTGTCACTTTGTCTGGTTTTATTGCTTCTCTGGGCCTGGAGCAGAAACACATCTGAAGCCTAGATGTTACCTTGACCAAAACTCTGTTTCTGTGGTCAACAGACCTGAGGCTTTGTTCTTAATATTATTCGATGCTGATTAGAATCTCATTGTTTTAGGGGCTTAAAGCTTAAGGGAATGGTGGTGCAAGGGCTTGTATGAAAGTCAGATGAAGCTATTCTTTGGCCTTATTTCTCCGCTAAGGGAGTCTACCACATGACTAGGGACACCCAGGGGAGGAACGGTCAGAGGAGGGTCCAAACTCCATGACCAGCAATATGAAAGCTCAGGGGGTCTAAACCACATGACTAGTAACATGCTAGGGGAGGATAGGTCACCCCACAATACTTGTTTTCCCAGTTTTGCCTGTTTCTAAGTACCCTGGGCTTTTTGCCCTGGTGACCTTCTGTATTTGGCCTATCATTTCTACTTTGCTCATGTTTGTCTAACTGCCAGCTATATCAGATACACTTAAAGCTGTAGGGGTAAGGAAGAGCTGAGACCCTAAGATGTTTATCTCTCCACTGAAGGTGTGGAATTCTTGAAGCTTGCTTGGTTTAAAGAAGCTTCTGAAAATATTATCCTTCAGTGGATATGGTCATTTCTGCCTTCAAGCATATACCCATCTTAACATGTTAGTATGTCCATTTTAAGATTAATTTGCCTGGGTTAGTCTCCAGTGATAGAGTATGCATTTAGACAGGCATGAGCAGAGCAGGAAGTGTAGTCCAGATATGGAATGTCCCCAGGGTGGAAAGTCCTAGGTGCCTAGCAAGGAGCAAAAGTAGAGAAAACGAGCATCATAGGGTTGGAACCTTACCCCCAGGGTAACCTTTCCTCCCCTAGCAACATCCTCCACTAGATACCCTGACCTTTCATATCACTAGTCATGTGATTTAGACTCCCTTAGAGGAGGAACAAGGGGGCTGGAGAATAGCCTTGTATAATTCCTGTACAAGCTTTTGCGCAACTGCTCCTGAAGTATTAAACCCTTAGGACAATGAGGTTCTGATCAGCATCAAATAGTCTTAGGAACTAGGGCTTGGGCCTGCTGATCACAGAGAAAGAATTTTGTTCAAAGTAGAGATAACATCCAGGCCTCAGTTCTGTTTCTTCTCCAGGCCCAGAAAAACAGCACACCCAGACAAAATGATGCCATGGCTGACATCAGGACCAGATGTAATAACTAATGACCCCCTACCCTAGCACTGACCAATCAGTAGAAACCACAACCCTGGAAGGGCCCATCTGGAAAGCTGATAAATATTCTATTGAGATCTTCCCCTGAAACTCCTAAAATACCTCCCTTTAGAAAACACATGAAAACACTTAAGATGAGGGACCCAGTGTGTGCTCTCCCTTCTGGAGCACACCTATGTCTTTTCCCCTCTTCTTCCCTCAGGCATGTTGTCTCTGCTTTCTTTCTCTTCAGCTCCAAAGGCCCTTCTTTTACCTCTGCGATTTGTTTCCTGAGTCATATAGCTCAGCTGGCTCACTTCTACCTTTGTGACTTCTTAAATAAACTTTCACTTTGAGTTGTTGGCTCTGAATGCTTTTCTTAGCTGAACTCAAGGACCAAGGTCTAACTCTGCCATTAGCACTGGAAGGACTAGTACTTCTTTATTTGCGGGGTAGCAATAGCCTCTCCACAGAACAGAGGCCTCTGATTTGCCTCCAAACAACTGTTTCTCTTCTTGATTGCACCTGACCCCTCCAGGACAGGACTCTATTTTTCTTCTCCCAGTCTCTACCTATTCAGGCCACTTTCCTTCCTCACTGGCTCCCTGGCTGTGCAAGTTTGAACCTGGGTCATATGTTGTCACCTATTTATTCCACAGATAGAGGTCTCCAGCAGTCTCATGTCCCATGTGAAAAATAACATGAGTGGAACCGTACTAATATAGAGCTAAAGTAGCCATTTCAGAGGAAGTGGCCGCATGTCTTATTTTTCTTTCTTGCAAACTGGACCAAACCACCATAATTCCGAGAAGTTAGTGATAACCTGACTATTCTGTTTGTAAGGACTGATAAAATTGGACTTTGTGGATGACCAAATCATTAACCAATCAATTAAATACAATTCTAGCTGAATCTCAGCCCATCCATGTAAGTACAAATCTAACCTTACCTCATCCAGCACCGATAAACTCTTTTAAAATACAACTTACTCATTTTTCTCCCTTTTTTTCCATTAAGTTTCCACCTGAATTTATTCTTCCAAATTGCAATTTTTTCAAATCCCAAGTAAGCACTTCTTGCTTCCCATTTTTGCTTTTTATTTTTAGGTTAACACCCAGGAAGTACAAGGAGCCAGAAGCCAGAGCTGGTGAATATGCAGATACAGATGCAGCAAAACACAAAGTAGGCATTCTTAAAGGCTCCACTGAAGTGTTACCACTAGCAGGAGGAAAAATGAGGAGCTTCAAGCTTGGAAAGAAGAGTGAGATGACCTTAAGAAAAATCTGTCTATAAGAAACATATCTAAAAACTTAAAGTTTCCTTTTTTTCCACCTGCATCCTCACTGCTGGTAAGGAGTAAGATCTCCATTACCGCAGAAATGCAGGGATCTCTGGTCCTTCTCATTTGCTGTCCCTCCTCATACAGAAGCCCCCGGGGGCTAAGAATTCACTTTACATAAGAAAAATAGTCACTTCCAATACTTATAAATGTAGTATAAGGACAATGACAAAGCTGGTCAAACTGGTTGGAAGTAGCACCTTTCTCTCCCTATGACCTTGTCTAGAGCCAGATGCAGCTGTAAACAGGGGAACATATGAAATGATTAAGTGATGAAAGAAGATGAGTCTAGTTTTTTCAAAGGCTGTAAGGAAGATTTGCCAAGAACCGAACAGACTCACATGCCAAATACTCTGGGAACCTATGAGAGCAGCCAGTGAGCCCAGGAGAAAAGAGCCACAACTCCCAGTATGTAGTAAAGCAGGAAGACCAGGGTTTCTGTGTGTGTGTGTGTGTGTGTGTGTGTGTGTGTGTGTGTGTGTGTGTGTGTGTTTTGTATAGTCTAGTGGCAGAAAGGATGGCTTGGAAGCCAGAAGATCTGGGGTTACTCCCAGTTCTGCCACTAACTAGCAGCAGCCATGTATAAGCCACTTAACTTTTCTGAGATTCAGGTGGCTCTTCTGTAGAGAGCAGGGATTACATTATGTCAGGGATGGCAAATGGGTGGCATGTACACCCTTATTTCTCTGGTGCCTTCTGTAGAGACTACTGTTCAACTATATCACTATGTAGAAGTTCTTATATAGTGATATAAGTAGGCACTTCCAATTAAAGTTTGTATACAAGTTGAAATCTAATTATTTTCCTTCTAAAGTCCCTTCTAGCTCCTAAACGGAAGGTTCCAACTTTCTAAGTAAGAGATGACCATTTTTCTTTTTTTTTGTTTCCAGAGAATTTTTGGTAAGTTTATTTGAACCAAACTGATGACAATTGCCAGGAAGCAATATCTCAATAGATTGAGAAATGCTCCTTACTTTTCTGACTTAGTCATAGTGAAAGGAAGGAAGGAAGGAAGGAAGGAAGGAAGGAAGGAAGGAAGGAAGGAAGGAAGGAAGGAAGGAAGGAAAGACGGCAGGCAAATTTAGGATCATAATTTCATACATTCTTCCTCCCCACCCCAAGGCTAAGCAGGGTCTTTCTGAGGTCACACTGTCCTTCCTTCTGTGTCAGAGATTTTAGTGTTTAAACTTCTTCTGTCAGTTCATCCAGCATAACTGTCCCCTGTAGCTCCCTTTTATCTAAAACATCCCACGCTTGTTAGTTCATGCAGTCATAGGAAAGGTCCTAGGACTGAAATCCTACTTCCCTAAGTGGAGGGCAAGGAAAGACCAATGAAAGAGGTTGGTCACTCCAGTCTAGTAATCAGTCTAGTAATAAATAGAATTCATGAAGGGAAACTTACATACAAGGCATATCTTGAGTGGCTGCAAGGCAGAATGGATCCCTACAGCACCTAACAGGTGCCAAAAAATTATATAGGGTAAAAAGGGTGGGGGGGGATAATCAGGGATACTAGTACAAGAATGCTACCAGGTATAAAAGTTACTTTACATGCTTGACCAGGTTAGGACAATGGCCTGTTCCAGGAAATAGTAAGTCACAGGAGACAGGGGAAGGGTCCTGATTTATGTCATAATGAACATCAATTATGATAAGACAGTCTCTCAGGGTGGTTTGTGGGAAGCAGTCTCTGTCTGGCCTGGGTCCAGCTTGCTGGGAGAGAGAGGGTCACATCATGGAACAGTATTTCCTCCACAGCACTTAAAAATTTATGCTTTGCATCAAGGAATCTACCTGAAAAGGAATTATCTCAAAAAGGAATTATCCCTAAAAGCCAAGAGTCAAAAGATGAGGCATTTAATGATTCTATTTGTTGCTCACCAAAGTTAACCATATTTACAGTTCTTCCCCTCTGGTAGGAAAGCAGGAATGGAGAAATCTTCATGAATCCAGGTGGTTGCAACTGAGTTTTATTGAAAGAAGCAGTAAAGTGGTTAACATGGAGCCCACCTCACAACCCACTCCTTACTCTCCAAACCACACAAGGACAAGCCTCAGACCAGGGGAGCATGTTTGTGTTGGATAGGAACCCTAATTTATTTCCCTCAGAGCAGGGAAGAAAGAGAGGAGAGGCAGGTGGCAGGAAGAGATGGGACATCCCACTGCTCTGGTCTCAGATGGAGACCTCTACTGAAGCATCAAAGTGGACAGGCACGTAGGGGTTTCCCTCACAAGCCACAATGATCTGCCTCTCTTTCTGGCTGGTCCGGTATGCACAGTTGGGGTACTTGGAACCATTCGTCAGGCGACAGTCTGTGATATTCATGCTGGAGCTGCTCTTGTGACAGTTGGGCTGCCCATTCTTGCAGGTGATGTTTCCTTGGAGGCAAATGGCCTGGACATCCACCAAAGGCTCATGCACAAAAGTGTTCACCGGCTTGCACCTTCCCTCTGTCATTTTCCGGCGCCTCATCATTTGGTTGCAGTAGCTGGAGTCGGTGGGATAGCCCTCTGGGTCCATGTGCTGCCGCTGAAACTTCATAGCCCGTGATTCCTTGCCCAGGGAAGGCTGGACCCACCCCAGCACCAACAGCGCCAGGACTAGCAGTGGGAACAGGATGAGAGACTTCTGAGCCATGGTGGCCTCAGTCCCCTGGAGGAAAGGGAGAGAAGAGGAAAAGCATCACTTTAGAAAGAGAAATCCGGCTCCCACCTGTCGTCTTCCTGGCTTACAGTCTCCGGTCAGGTGAGCCAGAAAGACATTTCTATTCCTGCAAGATTTTCCAAGTAATGAGACACTCACACATACTCTCCACCAAAAGCATTTGATTCCTACTATTCACAGTGAGGAAGGTCCTCCCCTCTGGGTCTTGACTCCCAAAGTGACCTAAAATCCTGTCTGTCTTGTTTCTGAATACTAGAGGGTTTTTTTTTTTTAATCTAAAATACTTTTGAAAAATAAAATGCATTTGTACTCAGTGCTCTCGTGTCTCAATAGAAAATCCTTTTCAATAAACCGTGAGCCAAATTGTATCCCAGAGACTATCATGACATCCAAAATCATAGTGGACAGAGCCCTATTGTACTACAGTGCAAGGCAAGCTCAACCCAGCGCCTGACACAGGCATCACAAAGGGATGCCAGTGTATTCTTACCCCCTGCCTGGGGCTGCTCCTTCTCCAGCCCCGGGGGTTCTCTGCAGCCATGGTGTCCCCTCCTCATCCCAGCTCTGCCCCCAGCTGTGTCTGCCTAGCCCAAGCTTTCTTGACGTTAGCCTCGCTTACCCTGACTCCCTCCTCTCCAGCCCTCAAGCAGAAACAGCTCTGGAGACCATCCCTTGGGCTGCTTACCTGGGTCTCTAACTTTGATTCCAGACAAGGGCAAGAGCTAGCGGAAGGCCAGTTTCGGCAGTCACTGGATCCCTTTGGTGTGGACTTTATGTAGATTACAAAGGGGCTTGGCTTCCAAGATGAGAAGTGGGGGAGGAGCATTTTGGTTTCAGTTTGATAAACGAGGAAAACAAGGGCATTGTGAGGAAGGAGTGGGGAATTGCCCATCCTCCCCTCTGTCTGCTGGTTCACAGGAACAATGGAGAAAGCCACTATGGCATTGATGCTCAAACCCCAAGTCCAAATAGCCTTTGGAGGTTAACAAAGGGCGCAAAATGTGTTATCAAGGGAGAAAGGGAAAGGGAGGTCCTCTCTCTACCCAGGAGTCCTGGAGTGGCTTTGGCCAGAATTCCCTATCTCCTATTAGTAGCTGGGGGAGATGGGGGATGGGAAGGGGAGGAGAGAATGGGGAGAGGTACCCAACTGTCTCTAGCTGGAGAAGGAGGAGGAGAGTACCTGAACATTTTGGATAAGAAGGAAGCCTCTACATGACCTCATCCAGTCTGGTCACTTCAGCCCTCCTGAGGCGAATGTGTGACAGTTTTTATCTACAGTGATCACTCATCCTATAGGTCAGAGTTGAGTAGAGAAACTAGATAGACCAAAATCCAAAATCCCTTTTGGAGAAAAAATAGAGAACATCATATTTCTTAGTAGCAGAATTCTCTTCTAGAAAGAGATCTCTTTTTGCTGGGTGACAATTTTGATACCGCTTGAGGGGGAAATGCCAAAATCTAGACTTTTTTTTTCTAGTAAAATGATTTTATTTAGTTATATCAGTCTCCAACAGCTGAAATAAAAATTTCCATGGTTTTCCATTGAGCAGTATGTCACTTTTTTTAGAATGTCTGGTTTTTCATTAAAATAACTTCTAAACCACTCAATGTGTTTAACTTTCTGTTTAACAAACAGATATGGGTTTTCAGAAAGGCTACATGTCACCAGCTCCATGAAGTGATGAATTGGTCTTTGTTTTAGAAAATCCTCCACGTACATATCCAGAAATATATGTCCATGAAATTCTGAACCATCATCACCAAAACCTGCTTCACTGCTAATTGGGAGCTTTCATAGTCTCCCCTTTTATCCTCTGGATGAAACCATTCTGAAAAAGTCTATTTACCGCAGCCAACTGCTTAGCAAATTCCATCTTCTAAAGTGAAGGTGCTGTTTCTGTTTCAGGTGCCTTTTCAGTAACTTCTCCAACATCAAAAACATTACGTTTCTCCCCTTTGGATATATTTTTCAAAAAATTGCTAAGGGACTCACTGGCTCTGAGCTCCAGTGCTAGAGCAGCAACTCCAAGAGCCAGGTCCGTACAGGGAGGAACTGAATTGTCTGGCAGTCCATGCTCTGGATTTTAGACTATCTCAGACCAAATTCTAGTTTAACACCTTAAGCTAAGCTAGTTATAGAACTTGATTTATTTCCCTGCTCCCTAGTTTCCTGGTCTCTAAAATGGGCATAATGATAGGTTCCTCTTAGATTTGGTATTAGGACGAAATAAGGTAAGAATTACAAGTTGTGCTTAGAAAGCATCTATAAGGGGGGACTCGAAAAAACAGGATTTCTCTTCTGGAGAGTGGGCACCTTGTAGTACCAGCTTTCCCTGCTAGGAGAGTGTTCTAGGAAACCATCTATAGCAGTGTACCAGCTGGTGTTGCTGTGAGAGGTTGCATTCAACCTCAGTGAATTTTTTTTGAAGACTCTTTCAAGCATTTGCCCATTTCCTGATGGGTGATTTAGAGCGCACCTGCCCACAACGCACTGAGTGTTAAGCAGTTTTTGAACAAAAATGACATGACCCCCTTGCCCCACCCTTCCTGTTCACCCGAGCAACTTATTGTTGTTTCCCTGGATGAAAAAAGTCCTCAAAGGGAAATGTTTTGCCCATGTGAAAGAGGTGAAACAAAAAATAGCAGAAGCACTAAAAGGCATCAAAATCGAGGAGTTCAACAACTGTTTTGACACCAATTCAAAAGAACCTATGCACCCCAGTGTTAATAACAGCACGATTTACGATAGCCAAGTGTTGGAAGCAACCTAAAGGCCCATCAGTAGATGATTGGATCAAAAAATCATGGTACATTTACACAATGGAATACTATGCAGTAGAAAGAAGAAAAGAACTACTACACTTCACGACAGCATGGATGGAACTAGACAGCATCATGCTAAGCGAAATAAGCCAGGGGCACAGAGACAAATACCACATGATCTCACCTATAAGTGGAACTTAACCAACAAAACAAATAAGCAAGAAAAATATGACCAGCAACATGGAAAGAAAAAAAGAAACCAACAGAGTCAAGAGGGAAGGAGGGGGGGATGGGCAGGAAAAGAGAATGGAAGGGTCAAGTCAAGGAACATATATCAAGGATTCATGGGCAAAGCCAAAGTGGGGAAGGATTGAGGGAGGGAGGTGGGGGAGGACAGCAGGGGAAAGTGGTGGTGGGAAGGTGGAGGCAAATGTATTTGAACAAAAAATAAAAATTAAAAAAAATAAGTAAATTTAAAAAATAAGTAAAGAAATAAATTTTAAAAAACTTGTTTTGAGCAGTGGAAAAAAATGCCTCAATAGGTGTATTGCATCAAATGGAGAGTACTTTGAAGGCAACTGAAGTTTAAACATGTAAGAATAAATACACAATTTTTTTATAAATAAATTCCATTTTTGGGGGGGGTCCCCCCTTGGTCAGTAGGAGGTTAGTGATTGTTCACAGGGAGTGGTGTTGAGACTTCCCACAAAGGAAACTCTTTAAATAACACTGGGTGATCTCTGAACTGCTTTTTAGAGAGGGTGGAGTCAAGTAACAGCCAGACCTTGGTTTTGCTAAAACTGAGCTTAAAATAGCAGGTGGTTTTGAAATCCTGGGGAGAGGAAGAAAGAGGAGAAAGAGAAAAGAAAGAGAACCTTGGTAGGAAGAACAGAATTTATTTAAATAAAATTTTAAAATTGTTTTGTCCCATGATATCCTAGAAATCTTTAGTCAAGTCAATCTTATTTGCTAATGTGTACAAGTTTGGAAATAGCAGTGGGGATAAGGAAGCCATGCCATGGCATGAGGTTTTAGTTTCATGTTTCCGTAGTTCACCCACCACCTCACCCTCCATCATGTTTTGTTTGTCTGTTAGTCCTTAGATAGTACTCCTAACATCTTGAGTGGTGTTGGGAGGGAAATTTTTCCTACCCATTTAGGTTCTGTTTGAGGGTCTGCGAATTAACTGATAAAAGTCAGATTAAGAGGAAAGACTAGACAAAGATTATTCATGTGCATATGAAGAAGCTTAAGAGGATTGAGAGAGGATAAACTTGAGTGTTCAATCAGGTTCCCAAGACCACAGGACATTATGAATCCATATCAGTGACTGAAACCAGGGATAGGTGGGAAAATGAAGAGAAGTACATTTTTGCCTCTTGACAGATGCCTAGGAATTAATCTCTGAAATCCTTCTAGAGCCAAAAGCAGTCCAGGAAAATTAGAATTACAGGGCCTCTGTGGGCTATGGTGCCCAAGGAGCCCCCTCAGAGAGAGGCTGTGTGGCAAGGGCCCACCCACTCCTCTCATGAATCTCACACTTTTCTCTCAGGTAACATACCTGCTCCTCTTCCAAGCTATGCACAGTTTTCCTGATTCCTCTCTAGGAGTCAGGCTCCAGACTCTCTGGAGTTAACTCCATGGAGACAGAGGTCAATTTGGATTAGAGTAACTTGGGAGACTTTATGATCCTATGACACTAAAGAGCCTCTTAGGGGACAAACAGCATGGCCCCTCAATCCTGTCACAAAGCTATGCATTTTTAGGCCTCAACTGAGAAAAACCCCTTCCTTAGTGAAACATTACACAATCTTCCAATTTCAGCCTTCTGCCCATACCCCAACATTTCATCTCACATGACCATGACTAAAGGGCAAAGGCTTTGAAGGCTATGCAGGTTATCATTCCTGTTGATGATTCCCATTTTATAAGACTTCTCATTTATTTTCCCAAGCTCGTTTCACTTCTATACATCCAGTAGTGTGAACTGGAAAAGAAAGAGGTTCCAACATCTGAGCTCTTGTTTGAGGTCAACCAGGTACAGCTTGCATTTTCCCAGAGGGCAGCTCAGATGTGTGCGTGAGTCCACCAGGTGCAATCAATAGCATGGTTTCTAGAACATACAGAGAAGGGCCCCAGTCTTCCTCCTCCCGCTTCCAGCCTCTCAACACTATCAGTTTTCCTCAGCCCCAAGGACAAAGCGCGTTCTCCTATGTCCTTTCTCACCCCAAGTGCCAGCCCTGAGTGTTCTTAATTGGAGGTCAGATATTACTCAGGGTATTTGAAGAAAGATGAACACTTGGGTGTCTGTGATTCCTGATAGAAGACTTAATTACCTTTCAGCCTAGGCAGTTCAGTGGTCTCTTTGGTTTCACCCATTTTAGGAGAGTAGCACCAGTGCCTTCATTCCTTATTCAAAGGTAGCCCACTTGTGCCAGCTCTTCTGATAACTTATCACGTTGGCATTAATGATTGACCTGGACTCTTGTGTGAAAGGAAACAGCTGATAAGAGAGGAAGGTGGGACGCATGAGGGACCTGGGAGCCTGGAATGTGCAGTCTCCACCAGAGTCACAAATCTTGTCTTCTCCTGAGAAGAGCTAAGCAGTTAATTCAAGCACTTTGCTGTAGACCCAAGTGCTGACATTCCTCCCAGGAGAAGCAGCCCCTGGAGTTGTAATACAAACAGGACCTTGATAAGAGCTCTGGTACAGGTGAGGGCAGGGTTATAAGAAAACAATGGGAGAAAAGGAGTGGAGTGAGGGAAAAAAGGAAAGGTTTCAGGGCAAAGATTACCTTGGAGAGGACTCTTAAGGATCGTTTTCACTTTTTTTTTTTCATGTTTTTGTATTGTTTTTTAAATTAGGGATGGGGAAAGACAATTCATACAAAAAAAAAAAAAAAAAAAAAAAGCCTGAGAGAGAAGTAGATGCTTGTGATAGAGCACTGTGTGTTTAGAAAATAGCAAGTTCCTCCATGTGACTGGGAGGAATG